CCTTTAAAAAAATACATTTTTACCTTTAATTTTATGTGTATGAGTGTTTTACCTGCATGCATATGTATGCCTGGTATCTACAGACGCAGGGAGTGAGTACTGGATTACTTGCAACAGGAGTGGGCTGCCATATGTGTGCTGGGAACCAAACCTGGGTCCGCCACAATAGCAGCGAGTACTCATAATCACTGAGCAATCTCTCTCACTCCACATTTTTCTTTGCGGATTGCTACCCAGGACTAACCCACCCATGTTCTTCAAGTGTTTTGCTTGTTTTTGGTTTTTGTTATGAGGCTGGAGGGATTTTGTGATTTTTATAAAGAAAGGGGAGGGGGCACATGGCCACCTTGATGACATTTGAATCGGAATGGAGCTTCTGGAGAGCTAGCTTGGTGAATCCTGAAGTTTGGAGAGAGTCCTGAACCCATCATCGGGTGGGCTGAAGTGACACAGTCAGACTCATCCACATTTCCCCCCATGTGACTGGCACAGCAAGGTTCCCAAATGCCAGCCAGGTGACTAGGGTGATGGTGCCTGGACTCTTTGCTTCTCCTTCTTTGCCCAAAATTACAAAATGAAATTACCTTGCCATTTGCTTTTTCTTTCGCCCTCATGTCCTCTTGCTGGTTCTTTCTTTCTATTCCTTCCCTGCTGTTATCAAGATGAATAAAGCTACACATTCCAAGGCTGTCTGTTGACCTTTGGGACTTAGAAGTCTCCCACAACAGGAGGAAAGCATCTCTGAAATAAATGTGGATCCACGGAGTACCTCAGGCATGTGGAGGAAACAAATGACTGAGCCCTTTCCAATTCACAGCACCCAGCAGGCAGAGAAGCAGCAATTTGAGATTTCAAAGTATCCGGGAGTCTCACAAGATAATGCCTTCAGTTGGCACTCAAAGGTACCAGTTAAGTGTTAGTTCTGCGGGTCCAGACTGCCCCTGTTCCCCAGGGCTTCAAAACAAAAGGCAAGCACAACCTTATTGTAATTAGGGTGTGATGCTATTTCTTTTAACAGTTTGGAAGATTTTTGTTTTCGTTTTTTGGCTTTTCACACACATTCATGAGAAGGTCTAGAGAAATAAGTATCTTTCGCTAAATGAATTAGCAGCATCTTCATGGCCAAAGACCATTGGCTTGGTAGGAAGGCGGTTCCTGTGTGACAAATCACACAAGCAATTTGCCCTTCTTTTAAAAAGTAACTGCCTTTTTGTTGTGTGTTGATTGTATTTTATTTACGGTGTGTGTGTGTGTGTGTGCGCGTGTGTGTGTCTGCCCACACTTGTTTATGTGGGTAAGCATGTGATATGTCCTACATATGGAAGTCAGAAGACACCTTGCAAGAACCAGTTCTCAATCCTTCCTGAGTGAGGCCAAGGGGCCTGCACTCACTGAGCCTCGCTGGCCCCTACCTTTCCCTTCCTATGATAGTCAGCAACATCACCATTGTCCTGAGTTAGCACAGAAGACTTCTGGCTCATTTTCCTCAGTCTGTATGTCATGACTCTTTCCTGATATTCTTTTTTTTCCCGTTGCTACTCTTAAATCAGTGTGAAGTCCTCGCTGGGGCTGATGAGTCTGCAGCTGTCATCAGAAACCTGCCTAATTTTCCTCCTCCCTTACTGTACTGCAGCCACACCGACTCTCTTTTTCATTATGCATACCTAGCATAGCTCTCTCTGGGGGCTGTGGCTTTCCATTTCTTTTGCCTAGAATTATTCCCTTGGCTTGCAACATTCAGTTCTTGAGCAGGCTCCCTAGGCTGGTTATCTTAAAAAGTAACTTTTATCTTCAGTTCCTTTATTTTACCTCTAAGGTCCCATTTGCATCAGATGTTGTACTGGTTTCCATGGCAGCCAGTCTCTTTCCACAGCAGTGTAAACTATACGAGAATGCATCTCCTCTGAACCACTCACGGTTCTCCCTCAGTGACAAGACTAGCGCTCTGCACATCAAAGGCATGCAACAATTACTGATTGGACAGGACATGTTTTCTCTCTTTTATGCAAGAAAAGAAAGAAGCCTACTGTGGTATTTGTAAATTCTATGAATAATATATTAAAGAGAATCCCCGAACCCCCTTGGCATTGTAGTATAACCTGCTTCATCTTTTACCCGATACTGTACTCTGGTAGATTTCCAGCTGTCACTGTATGGTGTTTTTTGTCTAACATTGCATGCTGCTATTTATGAATACTTGGAAGAATGGAGCAGATACCCAAATACAAGGACTCTCAGGTATTAAAATATATCATCTCTCTAACCCCTCAAGATAATGATGAAAGTGTATTTGTGTACCTTCTCTAGGGCTTCTCTGTGGGATTAAGCTCCATCCAATCACATTGGCAGCTACCTAGATGGCCCAGCCATTATTGGATGTCTCTTTTGTGTTTTCCAATAAAATAATACATTGACTCCCTGCTTCCAGTGGGGGTCAGTAGGATAGCATGTGTTCTGTATACTTGAGCTCCAAGGCTCAACCTGTCATGCCAAAGAGATCAAAATTAAAGTAATAAATTAAATACATTTCACATGCCTGGTGTGGTGGTATGAATGAGATTGGCCCCCATAGGCTCATATATTTGAATGTTGGTGCCTAGTTGGTGGGAGGGTTTGAGAAAGGTTAGGAGGTATGGTCTTGGTGTGTCACTGGAGGTGGGATTTGAGGTTTCAAAAGCCCACACAAGGCCCAGTTTTGCTCCCTCTGCCTCTGACATGATGATCAGGACGTAGGCTCTTAGCCACTGCTCTAGCCATGCTTCCTGACCCTCTGAAGCTGTAAGCAAGCCCCCGATTAAATGCCTTCTCTTATAAGTTGTCTTCATCAAGGTGTCTCTCCACAGTGATGGAAAAGTAATAAGGGACTTGGAAATATTTTAAATGTATAGCATGAACTGGGAGAGAAAGTCAGTAAAAAGAAAAAGAAAAAAAAAAGAGATTCTGTTCCAAAAGAACAAGTGGTATCTTTGAGAAGGAAAATTCAATAAATCCCTCAAAAACTAGAATGTATCACTGTGTACTCGACCAGGCAAAAGATAACAAAAATTAAAGGCTGAAGAATTATTAAATTCACATATCAATAAATAAAATAATCAAAAAAAGGTAATGTCCACAGCATTCATGATCTCCGAGACACGATTAAGAGTCCAAATCAGTGAATCTGTGGTGGAGATGAGGAAATACAGACTAAAGGCATGATAGTGAATTCAACAAATGATAGAAGAAATTTCTCGATATTTACAAAGGAAATGGACAACCATGAGCAGGAGGAATTTGGAACTCTACATGGACATTAGCAGACAAGAGTCTCTCCATGCTGGGCTGGAGAGATGGCTCAGGGGTTAAGAGCACTGGCTGCTCTTCCAGAGGTTCCCAGTTCGATTCCCAGCAACCAAAATGTGGCTCAACACCATCTATAGTGCGATCTGATGCCCTCTCCTGGGATAAAGGTGTACATGCAGATAGAACACTCATACAAAAAGTCAGTAAGTAATCTTAAAAAGAATCTCTTCATGCAATACTGTGGCCAAGATGCCAGTGTTGTGGAACAAAGAAAGAACTGTGACAGTTGTAAGAAAGGAATTCCAAGTTGGTTACAATGACAAGTTTGTCAGGATAGCAGCAGCATCCTGAACAATGGCACTAAAGAACAGAAGTGATCTGATGCATTTGAAGCCCTGGGGAAAAATAGCCATCAACCAAGGTCACTATGACCCAACAAGGTCATCCTTTAAAATCAAAGGAGAAATGGCAGCCTTACATTCTAGGAATAAATTAGAGGAATTATCAGCCCTAACCCAGCACTGCAACCAAGAATTACAGATATCCCCAGAAGAAGAAAGATATATACAAGCACAAGAGTTGGAAAAGATCTCACTAGAAGTAAGAATCTCATATTCAGCAATAAAACTGCATAAGAAAGGAGATATTACTATATAATATTAAATGATAATCCAAATGAGAACGGTGATAGCACTCTTGTCAAAAAAAACATGGACTAGTTGGGTGGAATATAAAACAAGCCTCATTTTTTTTTTTTGCTGTCTGCAAGAAACTCACTCTACTGGCAAAGCCACAAACAGAATGAAGTGAAAAGACAGAAAAAGATAGTCCAAACAGAATCTACAACCAAGTGCATCTGACAAAGCAGACTTCACACCAAAATTAGTCATAAGATAAGGAAAGCCATGTTAATAAGCAGGGCCATCCATCAAGAAAATGTAATGGTTTTAAATATGCATTTATTGAATGTAACCATACCCAGTTTCATAAAACAAATACTATAGGATATAAAGGGAAAGAGTTCCATAAAAGGGTGACTTTAATATCCTGCCTTAATCAATAGGCTGCTCATTCAAACAAACAAAAAGATCAACAAAGGAACTTCAACATTATGATCCACCCTGCCTCAAAACACTAAACTAATGATAGCAATAATTCATAAAATGAGGAAAACAGAAATTAAAAATGTGTATATAGCAGATAAGGCACTCTAGCAAAATATATAAAGCACTTTATAATTAAGAAGATAAATTAATATAAAACATATAACAGATACATTTTCAGAAGTTTTTTTAACAAGTGGCCACTCTCTACCTGTCAGTATCGATGTCTATATTTCTAAGCTAGTCTTTGTTTTTATAGCTTTTATTACATTTTATTAATTCATCTTGTGTGCACGTGTGTGTGTGTGTGTGTGTGTGTGCGCGCGCGCGTGCGTGTGCATGAGCACATGCCGCAGTGGCTATGTGGTCAGAGGATAGCTTAAGATGTCAGTTCTCTCTTTCCACTACATGGGTCCTGGGCATTGAACTCTGGTCATCAGGCTTGGCAGTAAGTGCCCAAATGCTGACCCTTCCTGTGGTTTTTAAATGACCAATTCATTGGTTAGCATGCTCATTTGGCTATTGGTCAAGTATACTTAGCCAGCTTGCACATAAAGATGTTCATTAAAATGTAAGGCAATAAAGGCAGATGAAAATGATCATATGCAGACTCACCTCAGCTTTGGTAAAGCCACTCTGGGTGACATTCTAAGGTGTAGGTCCGGCATTTCTCCTTCTGAACAGGCTGTTGACAGCAGGTCATGGCAGGGAACAGTATGTGTTATGCGTCTTCAGACTACACCAGGAAAAACCCAGAAAAGCCATGTGTAAGTTGCTGCTCTCATCACTGTGACCAAGCAGCTAATAAGAAGCAACTTCAAGGAAAAAGGGTCTATGTGGGCTCATGGCTTGAGGATATCTAGCCCAGGATGGTGGGGAATGCATGGTGGCATCAGCACAAGGCTGCTTTTGTTCACATTTGTGTGACTGAGGAAGCAGAAAAGGGGAAGACAGCATTCAGTTGGCTTTTTTCTTTTCTGTTTTTATTCAGCCTAGGGTGCCTGGGATGCTGCTTCCCACCTTCAGGGTGATCTTCCCCTCCTCACTTAAAACTCTCTGGGAAACAACCTCATAGATAGGCCCAGACATGTGCCACACTGATGACCTGGGTGTTTTGGTTCTTTGATCCAAGTTCAAAGTCAAAATTAACTACCACAAGCAAGAAAGACCTTGTCTTTAAAGGTTATGAGAATGAATAAAAACACAATACGATGGCATAAATGCATGGAAATGCCATAGTGAAGATCGTTACTTTGTATACTGAATTTTAAAAGGTAGCTAAAAGGTGGTGTCAGTATTTAAAAACCAGAGTGGCATGGAAAATTAAAGACCATTTGGCTTAAAATTTCAGAGTGGACAACTGGCTGCCCATTTTCCCCTGAGCTCTTGGCAATTTTGGATGCAAGACGATAAAAGGGCTTGGGCCAGGTGTGAGGCTAATACTGAGGAATAGAAAATCAACAAATCATTTTAAGGTTGGTGATTTCAGGAGATCCAAATATTTGGCCTGACAGAGGATGTGCCAGTTTAAGAACAGGGTCAAAAAAGATGCCTTGATGGTGACAAGCAAGCCAGGCAAGTACAAACACTTGAATCTCAGTCCCCAGAACTCATATATACAGGAAGGCATCGCCACAGGCACACCCGTAACCCCCGCAGACCGCCAGCCTAGATGCAGGGCTCATGAGAGACCTCTCTCTAAATACTAAAGTGAAGAATGATAGAAAAATACCTAGAGTCCTCCTTTGGCCTGAGCACATGTATCCCCTATATAATGCACATGCATCCCCACATTCATTACACACACACACACACACTCTCACACCAAATGGACAACAGAAACAGTCTGACAGAATGAAATTACTTGCAGTGCTTAAGAAACGTAGAGAAGTCAAGAGAAGAAAATCATAGTTATTATGTGCTTTAAAAATAATATGAAAAATAGTTTTCATTTCATAGACGAGAAATAACACAGGCAAACCACAGACTACCAGGAGAAAGCTGAGAATACCAAAGGGATAGGTAAATACTCAGTACTATAAAATAGTTGTATCACTTGTGTAACTTGAATTATATGTAGAACTAAAAATATATGAAAGTAATAATGAGACAGCAGCAGAAGGAAGACTTTAGCCAAGTCAGCACAAAACCCAGCTGTGGCGTGCTGGCAGAGCTGGAGGCCCCTCTCTTGCAAACCTTTGCTGTGCAAAATAAATAGACTAGAGAATCTGCAGGTGGCTTTCCCCCTGCCTAGGCTTTAGTAGAGACAGCACGCACCACAGAAGGGGCACACAGCTCTACATAGAACTGGCCTTCTACACCCTTATGAAATAGTTTGACATTTGGGAGGAGAATAGGAGGTAAGGGCAAGTTTTGTTGGCGTCAAAGAAATGACAAACATTACTTGCAGACAGAAACATGCCATGAGCCCAAGGAGGAAGAACATGGATATATGGTTGGTAGAGAACTATACTTTTTATACATGTTCCCCAATCCAGGGACATACAGTCTACAGGGAGTGAGAGTCAGTTAGAAATTCAAGAACTCCACCTCTGTCCTGTTGGTGGCCCTCCTCAGAGACACTGAGTAAGGGAAACAGTGTGCTACCACCGGGAAAACTGAGATGGAATGTCTATAGGGTAGCGTGAAGACAGTGGGTGGCTAGCTGCCAGTACAGATTCGAGTCATTGCTGGGGAAAGTAAAGCCCGGGGCACACTGGGTGTAAGCAAACTGCCAGTAAATTTTAAAATCACACGACGATTCTAAGCAACCAATGAAGACAAGAGGAGCAACATGGAGATTGCAGAAATGAAAATAGTGCATACAGGAACATGCCCTCCAGGGCTTCCAAGACTAGGGGATATAGTTAGTGGTCGTCATGGAGGAGAAAGGAAAGAGATGCTTCAAGAAGCAGCAGTTTTTCCCCAAACTAACCAAAGACAAAAGAACTGCAGAGGATGCCAAGTAGGTGTTCCAAGAACAGCACACACCTGGTACTGTCCTAGCAACAGCACACACCTGACACTGTCCTAGCAACAGCACACACCTGACGATGTCCTAGCAACAGCACACACCTGACACTGTCCTAGCAACAGCACACACCTGACACTGTCCTAGCAACAGCACACACCTGACACTGTCCTAGCAACAGCACACACCTGACACTGTCCTAGCAACAGCACACACCTGACGATGTCCTAGCAACAGCACACACCTGACGATATCCTAGCAACAGCACACACCTGACACTGTCCTAGCAACAGCACACACCTGACGATGTCCTAGCAACAGCACACACCTGACACTGTCCTAGCAACAGCACACACCTGACACTGTCCTAGCAACAGCACACACCTGACACTGTCCTAGCAACAGCACACACCTGACGATGTCCTAGCAACAGCACACACCTGACACTGTCCTAGCAACAGCACACACCTGACGATGTCCTAGCAACAGCACACACCTGACGATGTCCTAGCAACAGCACACACCTGACACTGTCCTAGCAACAGCACACACCTGACGATGTCCTAGCAACAGCACACACCTGGCGCTGTCTCATGTGGGTTTCTAGTGCCGTGATAAACACCAAGGCCAAAAGCAAACTTGGGAGGAAAGGGCCGATTTCGCCTTACGTTTCCAGGTAACAGTCTTCTCACTGCACGAAGTCAGGGCAGGGCCTGAGGCAGGAACGTCAGACCATTATTCAAGAAAATGGTCCCATAGACTTTTTGTCCACAGGCCAACCTGATGGAGGCAATGCCTAAACTGAGATTCTCCTTTCCCAGATGCATTAGGTTTCTGTCAAACTGACAAAAACCAACCAACAGACACATTGCAATCAATTAGATGAAAACAAAACACACGCTGACATTTCTATTACATCCAACCCTACCTCTACAGCACAATAACAACAACAAGATGCAAATCAATCAACAAATCAAAATGGAAACAAGGAAGCTACCTCAAATCCCCATTTGGAGCTTTTATTTTTGTCGTGTGTGTGTGTGTGTGTGTGTGTGTGTGTGTGTGTGTGTGTGTGTGTGTACATGTCAGTATACACATAAGCATATGGGTACCTATGGTGTGCGTGTGTCTACGTGTCATTATACATGTGTGCATGTGAGTTCTGATGGAGGACACGAGAGGATACCAGCTCCTCTAGAGCTGCAGTTGCAGGTGGCTGGGAACAGCCATGTAGGCGCTGAAAACCAATCTTGGGAAAGCATCACGCACTCTGCCACTGAGACACCCCTCTAGCCCTGCACCATGTTTTATATCCATCTTTGGGTTACTAATGTTGTGATGAAACACCATGACCAAAAGCAGCCTGGGGAGGACAGGGCTTATTCCACTCACAGTTCCATATACCAGTTCATCGTCAACAGCAGCAAGCGCAGGAACTTGAGCAGGGCAAGAATCTGGAGGCGGAGGCCACGGAGGGCGCTGTGTACTGGCTGCCCGCTGTGGTTGGCTCAGCCTGCTCTCTTATAGAACCCAGGACCACCAGCCCAGAGATGGCACCACCCACAATGGGCTGGACCCTCCCCCAGCAATCACTAATTAAGAAAATGCCCTGCAGGCTTGCTTGCAGCCTGATCTAACAATATTATGGAGGCATTTTCTCAACCGAGGCTTCCTCCTCTCTGATGACTCCAGCTTGTATCAAGTTGACATAAAACTAGACAGTATAACTGACTCCTTGTCAGCTTGACACACAAAACATTTCAGTTTTCAGTTAGAACTGTTTCTTTCTCATTTATCCCCAAGATGGCACGTTCCTATTAATATCACAACATAAAACTTAAATAACTTTAAAAGTCCCACAGTCTTTACCAATTCAAACGAATTAAAAGTCCAGTCTCTTTAAAAATCCATAATTTCCTCTGAAAGTTCAAAATCTCTCAACTGTGGGCTCCTGTAAAACTCAGAATTAAATTAAATGCTTCCTTCAAGAGGCGAGAACCAGCACACAGCTAAAATCTGAACAAAGCAAACCCCAGTAGTGTAAATAACTCAATGCCCAATGTCTGGGATTTAGTCACAATCTTCGATCTGCTGGGCTCCTGCAAAGGGCTTGGGTCCCTTCTCTGGCTCTGCCCTCTGCAGCATGTGCAGCTCCTCTTCCAGGTTCGTCTCCTCTTCCAGGCTCCGGCGGGCACCACTTCACCACTGCTGTTCTTGGTGGTCATCGCATGGTGCTGGCAAATCCAAAACGCTGTGGTCTCTGATGCAACTGGGCTGCAATTTCACCAACAGCATCTCCTGGGCTCCCTTCATGTCGCTGATCCTCAACTTCTTTCCATTATCCCTTCAATTCTAGGGCTTCAACGGCTATTGAGGTGGCACCGCACCATTGGCCTATCTTGGCCTCTCACAGTGCCAAGCCCCCGTGGCTTTTCATGATCTATCATGCCTTCAAAACCAGCACCACCTGGGTGACTCTCACACATGCCTCAGTTTGGCTGCTAGCACAGGGTACAACCTTGACCACCCTTGGGACATAGTTTGCATGTGCTGACTCACAGGAAACACTTCCCAGAAGATTGCCCCTCAATGACACTGGTCTCTTGTTAATCACAGCTGATTCTCCTGCCCCAGCTGACCAGCATCCATTGTCCCAGCAAAGAAAAGGTTTTATTTAGTGATTCTGATCTTTTATTAATCACAGCTGATTCTTCAACTCCAGCTGGCCAGCATCACAGATTCTTCTCACAAAAGGCCCAGAAGAGTCTTTGCTTCCCTCGAAAACTTCCAAGCCAGGCCCCCATTTTCTGCACTGCTTTCAACATTCTTTTTTTAAATTAATTAATTTATTATGTATACTGTTTCGCCTGCATGACTGCAGGCCCGAAGACAGCACCAAATCACACTATAGATGGTTGTGAGCCCCATGCGGTTGCTGGGAATTGAACTCAGGACCTTGAGAAGAGCAGTCAGTGCTCTTAACCTCTGAGCCATCTCTCCAGGTTGCTTTCAACATTCTTGTCTTCCAAGCTCCTACAGAACAGCTGACTGAACTCTCAATGCTCAAAGACTTTTCTAGCCCAAAATTCCAAAGTCCTTCCACAATCCTCCCCAAAACAACATGGTCAGATATGTCACAGCAATGATTTTTTACATATTATTAGCAAAAATATGTCGCACACAGCAAACATTGACAGTTGGATGTTATCCAGTGAGGAGACATTTGGTTTACTGTTCCATCCTGTCTGGTTGTACAGCTAATACAGCAATGCCATTGATTTAGAATTGACAACATGGCATTTTAGTCATGAAAAAGTTATAAAAGAACATTAAATAATAATACTATATATGTCTTTTACTCATAAAGGTAATACCCTAGGGCAGAAATATAAGATGTAAATTTCAAATTATATCTCTAGGAATTATCATCGGTGTATGATTATTTTCTTTTGTTTTATTTTGTTTGGGGCAAAGTCTCATTATGTAGCCCTGGATAGCCTAGGATTCTCTATTTGGTCTGGATAGCCTCAAACTCAAGGTGGTCTTTGTGCCTCAGTCTCTTAAGTACTGTTTTTCCAAGAATTGTTATATTTGAGGATCATAAACATTTCAAGAGATTTGTATCATTTTAAATTATATGTATTGTGCATGTCTATGAGTAGGAATGTGTGCATGAAAGAAGGCACCCATAGAGCCCAGAAAGGGATGTGGAATCTCATGGACCTGGAGTTACAAGAAGCTCTGAGCTCCCTGATGTAGGTCTAGGAACCGATCTTGAGTCTATTAGCCACTAAGCCATCTCTCTAGTGTCAAAATACGTATTTTTAGGCTCCAGCAATTTAGACTATTTCAACAATACTGAATTCAGGCTAGGAACCACATGTAGGTTTGTTAGTTAAAGCCTTCCACGTGACAAAGACCCACAGTCACAGGGGACATCCCATTCGTATCTCTCATTTGGGGAAACCAACTCTTGTTTTATATTACAGTTGGCTATGGCTAACTCTTGCTCCTCTGGATGGGCTTAGTGGTTGCTTGGAAACACCCTCAGTGTTCTGGGAGTGTGAGTGAGGCAGAAGAATGGGAAGTGGGGGGTTATGGGATGGGGTAGGTGGGAGATTCCACTTCCTGCCCTACTATCTACACTATGCTTTCTTGGCATCGATGGATTTAATGTGACTTGGATTTCAGGCAGACATAGTTTCTTGGAAGGCTAAATATAGAATGTAAAGTATCCTATGTTTAATTGAAAAGGTCATTAAATGGAACTTCATTTGAATATGTCCCCATGCCTTCTAAGTTAATGAGGTCAAGGTGGCCTTGGAGCACCTCTCTCAGAACATTGTGGGCTGACTTCTTGGCAATAAGGAAGCTCTTTAGGCCAACCTACTGATGGTTGTAAGTCAATTCTGCCAGTATTGTGTTTTCTAATTTGTTCAATTAGAACATTTTTTTCTTTGAAAAATTAGAGGAGTGATAGCCGTATGTTGGCAGGCACAAAAATCACCCAACTGTAAAGGGAAAAAAAATATAGATTTTCAACCTCCTATCATCAGAGGAGACTGTATGCAATGATTTTAGGGTGAGTCTTTATGTGTGCATGTGTTTGTGTGTGTATGTATGTGTGTGTATATATGTGTGTCTGTGTATGTATGTATATATATATAATATTGTAATATATAGTAACACACACTTTTTTTAAGGAGCTTGTCTCACTATAGGACAAGATGACCTTGAACCTGCAATGACCTTTCTGCCTCTGCCTCAGTCATATCATGACCTCACTCAGGTCAAAAACTATATTTAAATAAGTGTCTTTCCTTTACATCACTTCAGGTACAGCATAAACTATCCTTTAAAAAGTTAGGTAAGAAGATCATTTCTGGGGACTTTATATGTTTTGCAGTGCCCCTTAGATGATAATTAGTAAGGACATTGAACTTCAAATGAGACATTCTGACAGAAAATAGAGCTTACTAAAAATGTAAGAGGACAAAATTATCTAACTTTGAAATGAGGTTTCTTTTCATTGCCTGTCTTTAAATGACAACTTTTATGAAATGACTCACTGAAGAATTATCATGGGATAAGTGCGATAACAGTCATTAATATTCTGGCCACAATTGCAATTCATTTTGTAAACACCAGGCTCCATGAGTCATAAAGTGCCTGATGTAATTGCATTCTGCAAGCAAGGCTGTGTGATGGACCCCTGGGTGGCCATGGGGGGTCTCTCCCCTCAAGCACTGAAAAGAACTTTAAAGTCTACATACAAATGTAGAGATGTTTCCATCCCCTGCTTCCTTCTGCCCTATTTTATCAGAGCTGCTCAGTTCTATCCAGGATCAAAGAGGAAAGATCACGGCGGTTTTGTTGTTCTTGTTTTGTTTTTCACTTATGGTCCTAGCTGAATTGGAAAATATTCCGAGCTGTTTGGTGTGAAGTAAACAATAACACGTAAGCGCTCTCTCACATACGTGCAGCAATACGAAAGGGGGAGAGTGTGACAGGTATCAGCTCTTGTTGCCCTTTGCTTTTTCATCAGATTTTAGTATTTGATTTGATGAGAGACAGGATACATTAACCACTGTGTGCACCAATTGTATTTCCTTTTATTTCATTTGCTGGTTAGCTTTTGCTAAATACAAGAGGGAGTAGCACAGTCTTGGGTAACAGAATAAAAATGAAAATCTTTTATAAAGCTGCCTTGTGCCTTTCTAGCAGGGCAAGGACTCCTAGTCATGTATGAGCTTGTTGGCTGGTTTGGGCACAGGAGTGATTCTAGAAGACCCTATTGTAGGGATGGGAGCCTGGGCAAGCCACTCAAATGTTATTTCTCAGACATCCTGCTCTTTGGCAAGTGCTAAACAGTACTGCTCATTAGAGACTCGCTGATAACACTTGTAACAGGCCAGAGGGAAGTAGGCCTTGCTGCTGCTTAATTTTGGGAAATTGATTAAGATGAATTTAAGATTATGCCCATCCTAGAGAAAAATGAAATAGCTCATTATGAAGAGAATGGACTGCTAGCTATTATTCTGATAGGGAGCAATTTAATGAGCAAATTTATGTGCTGTTGAAGCCAACAGCTTCTTGGTATTCGCATTCTGTGTGGCAGTTTCAAAAGCAAAGAAAAATTAACCCATGATAAGAAAGGAGCACATGTTAAGATAGACAGCTTAAAAAAGAAAATAGAATTGGTAACATTTTGATGCATGTGTGTCCAGGTCTGTTTCTCCGTGTGTTTGTGTGTTTGTGTGTGTGTATGTGTGTGTGACATTTTTGAAGGTAGATTTTATATAGTGTCTTGAATACTTTTCACACATATAAATTGAATTTTTGCATAAAGCATCTTTTATGCACTGTACTTGAACTGGTCTTTTGTAATTGGGCATTGCTTATTTAGAATACCCTAATAATCTTGATGGACCGCTGAAAGTTCAATATATTTGTGGAAAATTCTGCATTTCCACAGTTAAATGGAAGCACTAACTTACTTCTTCGCAAGAGTCAGCTATTGGGCAAGAGCACAGGTCGAGGCGATGTTTGTCTGGGAAGGCTTTCTGATTATAATGGGAATGACCAATT